ATTTATCCTTCAGTCCTTTGCTTCTATTTTTAATGTTATTGGCAGGAGTTATTCACGCTCCTCAACATAGACTATAATTGAAGGTTCGTGGTTCCAGCTATGTTAAGGAGGTAAGGGAACAAATTGTTTCTAGTTGAATGTGTGGCTCATAATCCTCAACTGAGGCAGTGCACATGTGGTGCAAACTCAGTAATGAATATCAAATACTATCAACTATTTCAACATCAAACTTCACATCAATGTGTTAGCTCTCAACCTGTCTCATGAATATTTAAGGTTCTCTTCATCTGAACCGTCATCTTCCTCGATGGGCTCGTGTAAACATCTGAAGACAATAAGCCGTGATTTTGAATTAAGATTTACAGAAAGCACAGCTGATACGCAATATATTCTGTTATAATGCAAGACCTTTTAACAACTGCATCAAGTTTATTGCATGTATTTGTGCTATGTTGCATCCATTTTTGCATTTAAACAGTGCTAATAGATTTGTATCACATTTCATGGTTTCTAATAAATGCCTCTAAGAATTGCAACTGAAACATAGTATATTCTGTCATTAAAATATAATGCACTGTCTAACGGGCATACAATGACAGAAAGAGGTCAAGTCAAATGATGAATATCACTGGAGTTGATTGTCTCTATCAAGTAGGTAAGATGTGATGATTCAGTTATATCTTAGAACAGAAAGAAAATAGCACTGAGCCAGAGAATTTATTGTCACTCAGAGACTGTTTTAGCTTCAAATGCTGTCACTGAAAACCAGTCATGCTGCAAAATGAATTATACAAAATAGGCATCAAAATAAGGAAGTCAGCCATCATATTCCTTCGGTAAGAAATTGAAATACAACATTTTCATCATATATGTCAAATATGCATCATTATTAATCTTTCATACAGAGGAAAGGGCTCACACAAAATGCAGCCCACGTTATCTTACCATTATCAATATGAGAATCTTTATCAAAGCTTTCGCTTTTTATAACTTGATAGATCAATTTGGACGCTGAATGTTTTAATGTCATATCATTTACACCAGAACAATGGGGAAAAAGCAAAAAAAAAAAATGCAATTGACAGGTCACATTCTATAAATAATACTGAGCAATTTTTATTTTTTTGTTAAAGAATTCATAACACCTCCTATATCTAACATAAATATCCTTCAGATTGGTTGGCACCAGTTTTGTATGAACGCTGGCTATTAAAAAGGATGAAGGAAACTTTTTCATTAAACATAAAATAGCTTCCAACTATATTTTAAATTACAGGGGTGAAATTACCATTTAAGCACAAGTTAAACAAAATCGCTTTGCTCCTTGGACAATTTAATACAGCGAAAGTCTGACAATTCGCCTTTGGGATAAATCATGCACCCACATAACAAGTCGCTCACTCAATATCTCGCTTATTGGAGTAGTTTGTACTTTTGAGAAACTGTAATTTGGATAACTAGTCAATTCTGATAAGTAGTCATTTGAGCTATTTCCCTTGGGGTGACAAGTTATCAGAGTTTCACCGCATGTGTGAGGGAATCCTATTAGCTGACAACAACATTTTAATAACATAACCAGAGTACTTGCAGGAACATGCAGTGCTTCTGAACGTACAGTGATCTTGGATTTATTTTAATCTTTCACCGAAGCGTACGAGTTCATCACAGTGCACGATCTCTGAATGTTCTTAATTATATGTCAATGTGCCATTGGAGTTTAAAATGTGCATATAATAATCCCTGTCAGTAAACCTAAGTGATTCGTGTTGAAGCAAGATCTGGTGGAATTAAAAATTGAGGCAACACAATAAAAATAATAATAATAATCTTTCTATTTACCTCGATGTGCAATGCAAAGAATTTGATCAAACAGAAAACTACAACCATGAAATCCTAGCAAGGGTGATTTTGGTTGACGTGATTTAAAAAGAAATCCAAAAGAATATTAGTAGAAGATGATCATCCTTTAGTTTGATAACTTATCACTATTATTAAAACTTCTGCTATGTATCCACTTACAAATTAATATGACAGTATTGGCCAGCTGTCCTAACACTGAAATAATAAATAAATCATACCCAGCCAATTGTCAAAAAAAACTTACCAAATTGACTTCTATCAATTCATGCACATTTTATCTACTTACTTTAAAACATTTAATTGTGAAGTATGTAAAATCTAATTTACTGGCTAGCATGTCTCACTGTGCATACAAAGGCAGTGTGAGGCAAGTTGAATGATGAATATCAATAGATTCAATTATATTTTATTTCGTGGCTGTTTGGAGGTATTGCAGTGTGCAAACTAGCTGCTAAAATTGCCTCCAAAATACACAGTCACTACACTCGATGGTAAATCTTATGAAACGTTTTGAAACGTCCACCTGATGGGAAAGGCCTATGTCAAACGCAAGGATTATTATTCAGGATTATTTCAAACAGCAGTTTGATCCTCACTGTCTTAAGTAAGTTATTTTTGCAATTCTAAATGTTTCTCTTACATTGCCATTTTGAACTTTTCAGCTTGTCTTTACTTGTACCAAGCAGCATTGGTTTGGAGCTGTGATGATAAATCTGTCATCACTCTAAGTACCGCATACAAATAGGCAGAGTTAATATAAAATATTCTCAGAACATGTAAAAGCAGATATTCTAATCTAACTGATGAGCTCTCCTTACTGACGAGCAAGACTTCCCGCTGCTTGTCCAGCTCGGACCACCCTACCCGTTAGGGCTTCGGTTTGCCGGGTTAACTGGAGCTAAGTGGGAACAGTCCCTGCCCCCAGTGACTGGTCTGCCTTTCCAAGTCCTACCAATGAGCCCTCCTGGCTATGTTGTCACAAGCAATGCCCTGGAGTACTGCAGATCCACCTGGATCAGGAACTGGATAACCGAGACCGTCACAGAAGGTTTGCTTGATTCCAACATTCTGTTGCCAAACTTGTCACCTTGGAGCCAGTTCAGGTCCAAGGAGCCCCCGCTGACCTCTCCCCCCGAGGAGGATAGTCACCAATTGGTCATTTGACATCCGACAGCATGGGTCTGAGCCCTCACTAGGTGGATGTAGCTACCAGGAACTCCCTGCAAGCTACCTGGTGGGCAATACGGCGCAGTATAAAATATATGAGAGCATTGCCACCACCTTCCTGTCCGCAGATGGCCTCAAGTTTTGCTCAACATATTTTGAGGAATACTGTGCTCGTTAGCAATCTTAGCACAGACCAAAAATTTGAACCTGGAGCCTTCCTGATCTGTACTGCTCAGTGCCGTACCATTGAACAAATGTAGCCACTGATCAAAAATATGTATCACTCTTGTTTTTTTCTTGTACTACTAATAAATAACAGAGATTTCAGAATATGATTCATTGTACAGATACCAATGAGAATTTGAAAACTCTTAAGTTTTTGATAAATGCTTGCTTGTAGGTAGGTTAATTTACATGCTGTAATGTTAAATCTACTCTAGTTACATTATTTTGGTTTGGGTTGATTTGGGAACTAGTCCATCCCTTATGCTTAGACTTAAGACTTAAACTTAACAAAGAAAACACTTTCAGGTAATACGGGCTCACGTTATGGGGCAGGAAATTGTGCACCATATCTTGATTGTAAAGTCAACTTAATACTTTGTTTGAAACAGTTGACTGTTTGTTGATGTGAATGTGGCTTATTCCAAACAGTTTTTCATCATTTAGATTCGCTCTATGTTAATGCTCCAAGTACTGTTGGCAATACTTTCTTGTTAAACCGAGGTCACACCAGGTTTAAAGCCACACAAGGGCAGAGCAGTGTTGAGGCCAGTTGCTCCTAGTTTGCACTATATCCAAACAGTTACCAATGTCAAGACAGAAACAGCAGTAGAACAGATTCATACTGAATCTTGTTTCAATTCAGCATGGTTTATATTGAAAAACATTAACCTAACACTACACTTACTGTACTTTAAGACAAATAGATACACAAATGTTTTCACAATGTTTGGGCAGAAAGGTAAATTTGAATGGAACGCATCATCACATGTTCATCTCTTGAGGCGTACAATGAAGGCTTCACAAGATCAGAAGATTGGTTTAGATGAAGAAGACCCTTCGGTCCATCTGGTGTCATCTTTCCAGAACGCACACACCACTATTCCCTCTCATCACTGGTCACTGGGGTCAAAGAGGTTGTGCACAACACAATTTTTTGGTGGCGAGGAAGAGAATGTATGTGTATGTAATCTCTGAGAGTATCTGTAATAGAATTCATTGTTTTGTAGGTATAACTGGGTGGGTGATAGCCTCTTTTATGGATAATACTTAGGAGTTGGGAATGGTGAAGAGGATTTCAGATCAAGACAGATTGTTTTGTGTGTATCCTTTCCGTGCCAAACTAAATAAGCTTGTAATCCATTGTGTAAAATAACATCTGCATTCAACATGAGTTTGTTGTAGTATTCTATTCCAGAAACCAGGAATAACTGACAGTGCTGGAGTCCAGTGTTTAGTAAATCCTTTTGACGCAGCACAATATTCATGAGTGGATTGTTCCTATCTTCGACATTAAGTTGAATAGACAGATTGTTGCAGGAATAATACCGGGATTTATTCAGTTATCACAGCCTTATTGATAATGTCGCCATACAAGTCTTACCCAAGTTTGACTTTTGTTTTTTCAAGGTGTGACTGAAACGTAAACTATTAAATGATGCTGCCCGCATAACCCTTGAGCTTGAATGACAAACGAACGATGATATCCCCTACTCACTAGTGGTGGATTCTCCACGTACCATTAAACCTCAACACAGATCCACTAATGGTGGAAAGGGTGGATTCATACGTTCTCTCTGGCTCTCCGGGGACAAATTGAATCAACACCAATTTTTACAAAATGTGTGTTATACATTTGTACTAAGTCTCAGACTGTAATGCATGTGAGAATATTAATCCAGGGAGATTCAATTTTAGCAAGTAAGGCAAACAACTTGATGATTTATAATTCAGTTCTCTGTATTACTTACTTTCGATCATTTCTTCAGTCACTTTGTTCTTTTCTTGACTTCCATTTGACGTTTTTCCGTTAGACTTTTTCCCTTTCTCTGTTTTTTTGTTTCCATTTTTAACTGGAAGAAAAAAAGACAAGACATAGGCAGCCTCGCCTGACCAGTTTCAGCGCGGTTTACAACTTTAAAAGGTAGTTGGGCAGCACCTTGGGATGTCGTCCCAACATGAAAGGCAGTATACAAATGTAACTTTATATTGCACATGATAGGTATTCTGTAACAAAACAACAATATATATTTGCTTTGTGTTAAAAGTGCATTTAGGTTACTTTCCACTTTTTTTTGGTCTCCGAATGGTCAAATAATAACAATAATAATCCTTGAATTTGGTATAGCGCCTTATCATGTCGTCGGGAGGTCTCAAAGCGCTTCAAATAATATACTGCAAAGCGGAGTGACTGTATATTTTATTTATCAACCACCGCTGGAGAACGCATGAGTCTATAAAGGTGGAAACCACTCGCTTGCTTTCTTCCAGAATAACTCCTGAACACCTCCAGGCTGTTGCGAAACTTTCAAGTTCCCGCTTTGCTTCTTTTCAGCGTGATACGAATCCAATATGTTGTTATTATTATTATTAGATTATTATTATTACTATAATATATTTCTGCTGTGTTCTCTTAGGGGATGGGTGGGTGGGTGAGTGGGTGGTGGGTGGGGGGGTGTAAAGTAGGTCCAAAATAATCCCCTCCACCACCACCACCACCACCAAAAGCAATGTTTAATCTAATGCTTTTATACTCCCCCTTTTTTTTTTGCAATAAAAGCTGTGGGGGGTGGGTGGGAGAGGGGGGAACAAACTCTGCACTGCAGCAGCACATAGTGCTCGAGAAGACAACTCAAAAGAAGAGCAGATGCAAAATGCAGCAGAGCAGCAGCAGCAGTTGGTATTTTAATTTGAATGCTTACTTGTCTTTCCCACCGATGTGTCCTTCTTTGCCTGGAACACCTTCTTGGCTTTCCTCTCCCTGTGCCCCTCTCCCACCGCAGTGGCTGAGAGTCGCTCCTCGGGCTGTGTGGTGGAGCGCTGGTGCTCTCTGCCCATCATCTCCTGCAGATAATGCTCCTCGTCCTCCAGGTTGTCCCCACAAACACCACCCGACAAAAGCACTAACCCCCACACGTACAGCCCCAGAACCACAAAGCCAGAGCCACTGTTTAGAGGAAACATAGTTTAAAATAAAAATATCCAGGTTCAGATCCCACCCCACACACACACACACCCCCCTCTCTCTCTCTCTCTCTCTCCTCCCCTCCTCCCCTCTCTGACTCTCACCAGAATATATATTTCTTTTTTGTTTTGTTTTTAAAAAAAAGAAACACACACACACACACACACACACAAGGCAGTTTGATCTTACAACACTCGTAAATTAACAGCGTTCAGCTGTCGTGTTGGCAGCCAGTGATTTTCTTTCAGAATTTTTGCCCAAACTTTACACTCTACCAAACATCAGGAGGTCCATGTGATTCCATTTGCGTCAGTCACACACACACACACACACAGAGAGAGAGAGAGAGAGAGAGAAACATTGCAGGATGTTGGCAGGTGATTTAGACTCCAGGATCTTATTGCTTTGCTTGCTGGAGTTTTTGGCCAAATGCAGAGGCAATGCTTCATTTCCATAAATGCAAAGTAATCAGAACCATATCTCCTTAGGAAACACTGGAACTTTGTTGGGTTTGGCAGTGTGAGCCCAGCTCCAATCTCAGACTTCTAATAAAACAATTGCAATAGATGCTTCTGTGTGTGTTTGTATGTTTCAAAACACTGACTAATGCTCATAGGAGAGGCACCATTTTTGAATTGACTGCCAGCTTGGCTCCCGAGACGGATCAAACGCAGGAGTGGAAGGGGGAGAAAACACAATAAAACTTTATTTTATTCCTCGCTTTCAGCATTCCTGTGCGTTGAGTCTTCCAAATTAGTAGCAAAGATTTAATCTCCAGCTGCAGACTCTTAAAGCAACCTCCCTTCGGGGCGTTTTCTACAGAAGACGGTTTAAAAAGAAAGCGTGATTGTTCAATCGGTAAAACTCCAAACGATTGCAGAGACAAGTTTGCAAGAGGGGCCGAGTGCCCATTTGTGAATGGTCTTGAAACGATCTGAAACACACCTTCTCCCTTCCAGACAAGTTTCAGATGTTGGGGCAGGTTTGAACAGAGCCAATGTGGCTGGGCCATTAATCTTTCACACCATCACTGTCAGACAGAATTATTTCTTACTGTGATGAATCTCCTAAACAATCAACCATGTTTTATACGTGATCTGATGCCTAATTTGGCACTTTTTAAAGAGTCAATGAGGAGGTGAATGCCACAGTTTCTAAAACCAATAACATTGAGCATCTCCTCAGCCCAAAATATACACTTTGCCCACAAAATGTACAGTCAATTCCCTTCACAGCATATTCTATGAAGCGCTTATATCAAAGATGTGATAAGGCGCGATATCAAATGCAAGGATTATTATTATTTCAAAGTGGATACAAGCAAATCATAGAACTGACAGCACAGAAGGAAATGATTTAGTCTACAGAGCCTACACCAGCACAAGAACTATTCTAATCTGAAATTCTCTCCCATATCCATCTTATTGTTTATTGATTATCCTTTTAAATCTATGTTTTCTGCTTCAATATTTGTTGGTTCTAATAACTTTCTGGACACAAATATTTATTTTAACCTCCCTATTAACCATTTATACTCTCAAAACCCTCCAAAATGTTGAAGAACTCCATGGGAACCTCTCCTAACTTTATTTTGTCCCAGCAAAAATATTTCCAAATTTTTCTAGCCCATCCTCACAACTATATTCCCTCAATCTTATCACATTAGCCCTTTAGTCGGGAGCCTGAGAAATATAACATGCACAAAAGGAGAAACAAATGGATACAAGGATTCTTTGCGGTCATTTTGTTTGTTTTATAGGAACCTGGAAATCCTGTAGATTGGTTAACTTTAGTTCCTTGCCTGGATTCATATTTCCATTCTGAATAACTGAACTGTAAGAATGCCAATAGAGGTGGTAAAACTGCACCAACAATCATGAAAGTACATGAGAACCACTTTGAAAAGTTTTAGGCGGAGCAGTATATGTCAGTTACTGGATGAACCAAGTGACAGGAAGATAAATTATAGACTCTAGTTGCAATGATTAATGGAAAGTCATAAAATTCACTGGGAATTAATAAAGAGATTCACAGATGATGAGGTAATTTAGGTAAAGCAAACGTTTCATGTTGGAAAAGTGGGCCGGATGAAAAACATTTGTTTCTTCATGAGAAACAAATAACATTGGCAGGCAAATTCCTTAAAAAAACTTAATTAATATCAATTAGAAATACATTGTAATCATATATCAATATTAATTTTCATAGCTCTCAGTCATCCATGACTCATAAACCATCCCAGCTTACATAAAGCGTTCCAAGATGTTATTCTACATGAAGAGCGCTGTGTAAATGCGCGTTGTTCTTGTTGGTGTACCATCTAGGAGTCATCAGCAGGATAACATCAGAAGTGTTAAGCTCTTTGTGTTGAATACAACGCACTCCAGGAAAAGTGCTACTGTGTATTGCAGGAGCAGCAGGTCACCAATGAGGTAGACTACGGAGATGAGAGTATTATAAAACTAATAATACTTGCATTTGATATAGCGCCTTATTGCGTCTTCGAGACGTCTCAAAGTGCTTAACAGAATATACAACAACAACAACTTGGATTTATATAGCGTCCTCCACGCCGGACGGCGTCTCAGAGCGCTTTACAGTAACAGATCCTGGGACCGAGTCAGGGAGAGGGGGAGAAGGTGACCAAAGGCACGGTCGAAAAGAAAGGTCTGTAATATACTGTGAAGTGAATTGACTGTATACTTTGTGGGCAAAAAGCGGCAGCCAAATACACACAGCAGAGTACCACAAACAGTCGTGGATTGAACTGACCAATTTACTATTATTAATTTGTTTTTTTGAAGGAATTATTACCCCCGGAAAAGCGATCCGCCAATCGACTAACAACTGGGTTCCTATGTACTGCTAGGTAAACAGAGGAGTATGGAGTAATGGAACTTGCCCAACATTTCGCCCTGTCGTAAAACAATTAATTATTAATTGGTTAATAGTTACTATTAACTAATTAACATGTGAATCAGAAAACCTACGTATGCTTTTCATGGTACAGATGTTCATTTTGAGTCAAATTATATTCATTTCAAAAAACATTTGATATGCTAAAAAGTTCAGCTAATTTACATTTTAATTAAAGAGTACAGCCTCTAAATCCAGCTCAAAATATTGATATCTTCTGCATATTTATTACAAATACCTTTACTTTGACAGGAAGTTTAATTTTGTTGATGTAATTGTATGTTTTCAGCACCTTAGCATTCTCTGCTGTTGGGGGTGTAAAACTAAATTAAAATTTAATCCGTCTCAGCAGATGAAACTCAACTTAAATGAACATTCTGGATTCGTAAGTAATTATAATTTCCCCCTGGTCTTGAAAGGTGTTTCATAATAATAATCCTTGCATTTGATATAGCGCCTTATCATGTTGTTGTGACGTCTCAAGGTGGTTCATAGAATATATTGTAAAGTGGATTGACTATTTTATGGGCGAAAATACACATGCCCTTTCAGTGATGTCTGTTTTATTTTGACTGGGTAGCATGGAAGTGAGATTATCAGAATTCATGGAAATAATAATATTATTCCTTGTGCCTTATCAGGTCTTCGAGATGTCTCAAAGTGCTTCATAGAATGACCAGGACTGGGATGGAATACAAAAGAAATACACTACTTAATCCACACACCCTTCAACAGATTTCTTTGACAAATAATTGGTTCATTCCTTTGCTGAGGAACAACCGAAGAGAAGGATATTGCTGAAGGAATTGACCTTTTAATTAAAGGAGCTCTGGAGGACAGAATGAGGGAGAACATGTTCATCAAACCCAAGAAGTCAGTCCTTGTCTGAAAGGCCGATGGTTTCATCAAGATACTAAAATAGACAAAGCAAACATCCAATGTTCCTTTATTGACCAAAGGGGTACAGCATTTATACTATCGGATTGTATCTGGCTTCCTTCCAGCTCTTAAATAAGGATTGTGACTGCACAGAAGCTGCTCACAGCAGACATCGAACCCGAGGTGAACGTTTAGAGAGTTCAATACTTAGCAAATTACCTTGTTATTGCCTTGCATGCAGGCATTTAATTGATCAGATTGACTAAAAGTTTGTTGTGTTTGCTTTGGTGACATTCCTTATTTGCTGTTAGAATGCCTCTCAGTTGGCAAAGCAGCTGCTGTCTGTCAATAAGAACTCTAAAATGTAGCAATCTGGGCTTGAAATCTGGAAGATATCAGCTGAATGGAATAAAATACTTAAAGTCAGCTGTTATGGATTTTTTTTTCTTCTAAATCTCACCAGAAGGCAACCAGTACTGTAGTTAACCACAACAACAACAGCATTACATTTGTAAAGCGCCTTTCGCGTCGGGAGGACGTCCCAAGGCACTGGACAGAGTTTCGGACCCGAGCTTGGGGTCGGGATCAGGGAGGCGGGAGGGCAGGGGGGGGCATCAGGGTGATAGAAAGCACGGTCGAAGAGGAGGGTATTCAGATGGGTCTTGAAGCAGGTAAGGGGTGGGGGGGGGGGGGCGAGGTGAAGGGACTGTGGGATGGAGTTCCAGAGGGTGGGGGCAGAGTGGTTGAAGGCCCACCCACCAATAGTGGGGCGAGTGAGGCGGGGGACGTGAAGCAGGCCTTAGCCCGCTGAGTGTAGGGAGCGAACAGGGTGGTAGGGGGTTAAGAGATCGCAGAGGTAGGGGGAAGCGACTTCATGGAGGGCTTTGAACTGTATCCTCTGTGTGATGGGAAGCCAGTGGAGTTGGGCGAGGATGGGGCTGATAGGGTCACGGTGCGAGAGAGGACACGGGCTGCAGAGTTCTGGATGATTTGAAGCCTATGAAGGGAGGAGTTGGGGAGGCCAAGAAGCAAGGAGTTTGCATAGTCAAGCCTCGAGGTATTGAATGTTTGTATGAGGGTTTCGGCAGCCTGCGGTATGAGACAGTGGCAGAGCCGGACAACGTTTCGGTAGGTAGGGGAAGGCAGAGTGGATCATGGCACAGATGTGGGGTAGAAAGTCGCCCACAGCTCAGAAACAACAACAACAACAAAATTACATTTATAGAGCGCCTTTGACATTGGGAGGATGTCCC